AGAGAGAGAAAGAGAGAGAGAGAGAGAGAGAGAGAGAGAGAGAGAGAGAGAAAGAGAGAGAGAGAGAGAGAGAGAGAGAGATTTGTGACTTCGGAACTTGACGACATTCGGATTCAGACTCAACCTTGGGACTAAGACATTCGACAAGGGGTCATTTGGGACCTGTACTGAAGGCTTGGTGTTGACGACATTCCCATCTTCCCCCTCTTCTTCGTCTGATCCCCCTCCTCTTCGTCTGTGTATGTATGGGGACTGGCGCATTCTTCCTGTGTGGGCGCCAGGCCCCTTCACACCATGTGATGATGATGACGTATGTTTGGTTTGCATTACGACATTGATTGAGTTGATCATTGGTATTTTAGCCTTCCGCTGTGCTATCGTGAACTATGTAAGAGAGTTCGGTTCTTGTTCTGGTCTGTACCATTACGGTATGCGACAAGAGGGGGTGCGCAGAGGGAGGAAGGCGGTGGCGTGGAAAAGGGGTGCGCAAGAACTTGAAGAAGAGGAAGAAGGAGAAGGAGAAGAGGAGGAAGAAGAGGAAGAAGAAGAACAAGAACAAGAAGAAGAACAAGAACAAGAACAAGAAGAAGAGGTAGAAGGGGAAGAAAGAGAAGAAGAAGAGGAGAAGGAAAAAAGGGTGAGAAAACGACTTACCTAGTGGATTCCCCGTGCCCCCGCTTGCAGTAGAACGCATACAATAAAGGATGAAGGCGAGCACTCACCTCGATGAGAGGTGAGTTCCATAGACAAAGCGGGGGGGCGCTCACGTGAATTACCGAACACGACACACCCTCATCTTGAATGTATCCGACCTGAAAATTTGGTTGTATACATTATTTATTATTATTACTATTATTATTATTATTATTGTTATCATTATCTTTTTTTTTTTTTTTTTTTTCCTAACCCTTAAGCAGCATTGGCCGCGGGGGGAGGTCGATGGTCCGCTCCTCGCCGGACTTGGGAGTGAAGTTTTCCTGCGGGCTTGCGGATGGAGGCGATCGAGGGCGAGGGGGCGGGCAGAGAGGCGCGCGTACCGAAATGTTAACAACACACCAGGAAATGAGAGAGCGCGCCCAAGGGGCGGAGCGGCGGTGGGCGTCGATGCGAGGGAATATCTCAAAGCGCCCGCCGTCGATAAGCGCGT